CCCCATAAAGTCACTGGATTCTAAAATCACATTTGTCCCACAATGGACTGATTGTAAAGACACGGTTCCCAGTAGAGCCCCAAAATGAAGCATCACTGGCTGCGGTGAGTTAGCGGGTGGGTGACCACTTTGATCAGCCTACTAAAGGAATATTGGTCCTCGTTAAACTGTTCTACCGTGAAGTGCTAGACTTCGCGAGCAGGTCGTCGGACTACCAAGGCAGGGGAGCCATTCCCTTTGCAGAGGATCAAAATTGNTATCTCTAAGCTTTCCAAAATGAACAGAATTGCATTGAATTTAGCTGTTCAAAAATGAATAAAATTGCATTGAAAAACAAAAACGTAAAGCATAAAAAAAATTGAATAAATATAAAAAGTGTAAATAGTTACTAAATGTTAATACAATTTAATCTATAAATTTCCTGCTAAAAAATATGTTAGCAATTAACGCTAATTTTTTGCATGAGATATGTTCACAATATTCCCTTAACTTGTGCATCCTCTAGCCCCATAAAGTCACTGGATTCTGAAATCACATTTGTCCCACAGTGGACTGATTGTAAAGACACGGTTCCCAGTAGATCCCCAAAATCAAGCATCACTGGCTGCGGTCAGTAAGCTGGTGGGTGACCACTTTGATCAGCCTGCTAAAGGAATATCGGTCCTCGTTGAACTGTTCTACCGTGAAGTGCTAGACTTCGCGAGCAGGTCGTCGGACTACCAAAGCAAGGGAGTCTTTCCCTCTGCAGCGGATCGAAGTTGCGATTACATATCTTCGGATCATTCTCAGGGATATTTTTCCCAGATGGTAGTCCAGCTCTTGTGCGATGTAAATCAAGTACCTTCCTACCTAAAGTCACATTCTAAATAGAAACATACATAAATTAGTTTTTTCATATATATTTACCACTTTTTATTGCCACTTTTTTATTTGTTAAAGTTTGTTTGTTACAATGGAATTGCCCAGTATCTTTTTAGTTATGTTTTCCTCTAAAGCGGCAATTCTCAATTTGTTTCGGCAATCAAACCCGAAATAATCTAACTTGTTTTGGCGTAACCCCTGGCAATTATATAAGAGAAAGTTCATTAGCAGCAGTGAAACAAAAAAAAAATATTACTTATTATTTTGACACTATTTTTAGAGTTTAGAATGAAATATATTTAATGTTTTCAAATTTTTCTAGCGTGTGCACAGGCTGAAAATGAATAAATTAAGTTGAATTAGGATTTTTAAACTAGAACTGTTCTAAACGATGAGAAGTTATCAGGAAAACATAATTTCTTATTTTCGAATTTAGTTATTTTATTTTTAGCAAAAAAGCTCGATCAGAAGTACTTGTGAAATTTTTATAAATTCATATTATTTTCATAATTCATTCAAAATATCGTTATTGGAAAAAATATATATGTTTTTTTAAATTTCTCTACTTTTTTATTTAGAATTTACGTTAAAAAGTTCATATAAGCACTTGAAATAATATTAATAAATTGTGGTAAATTGTTTGGATATAAATATTTTTATTACTCTTGAATAAATAATGCCAAAAAATTTAAATTGTAATATATTACTTGATTAAAAAATTTATTCACTTCAAAAATACATGAATTGAAAATAATAGTCGAATTGCTCGAAAACAGGCGCTCATTTTCAAGACTTACCAGACGTTGATGCTTATGTTCAGATCTGGTAAGTTTTGAAAAGGGAAGCCCGCTTTCGAGAGCTTGAAACGTATCGAATGCTATTTCCAATTCAGGTACTATTGAAGGGAATGAGGTTTTTAATCAGGTAATTATTATATTTCTGGTCAAAAGTATCCAAACGTTTGAAACTCCTGTCATTCTTCCATGGGGTCCTAAGGTTCCGTGGAGCATATTTCGGGAACCTATGTATAAGTTCCCAATTTTTGCACTATCGTACCCCTTTCCCGAGTGGGAGTTGGGACTATCTAGAAGCTGGGTAAAAACTTACAGAAGAATTTTTTTCTTTTAAATCGAGTGCTCTTTAAATTCACGAATTTTATTTTGTTTAGTATCAAAAACATGTACTTATTTAACTTCCCATTCATTACGCGCTATTAATTGATAGTTAATAATTGCGTCAATTTACAGATAAAAAGATTATTTACCAACTTTATATAGAGAGTAATAATTTGCTTGATGTTCTATACAAAAACAAAATAATGCACACTAGAAAATTTAATGTGACATTTTATTTTGCTTTTAAAACTCAAACGATTCTTTTTGGATTTTTAACAAAATATTTAGTTTCGTTATTTTTTATGCAATATGGATACGATGTTAAACTAGTATGGAATTTTTAAAATAACCACTAATTTAATCTTTCATCGTTTAACATAAAAGTTCGCAAGAAACAAGTCTTTTGCTCACGTAAGGGCTACTCTAATTAAAATTTTACAGTAAAAATGTTTAAATATAAAAACATTGGTTAGTAGAAATTTTCAATAAATTAACGGCAACATTAAAAGTGCACCAAATTGAAATTAGCGAATGTAAAAATATTTCTTTTTAAACTGCTCAACAAAAAATTGCTGTTGACTGAACATTTGACAAAAATTGGTGGTTGTTGACTTCCACCGGTGAATGTTGATAATCACATAGTCGCTGTGGTAAATGTCTGAGATATATATTAGGTCTAGTTTAACGCCACTGCCCGGTATGCCCTACATCAATTTTTTTAAGTCAAAAATCACTGCCCTGTAGGCATTTAACCGGTACTCCGAGCACTGATACTTCTCTTACTCTGTCCTCAGTAGATAATAAATATATAATAATATCAATGAAAAAATTCATATCAAATAGGATATAACAATTATTTCAAACATTCACCAAAACGACTATGTGATTGTTGACATTCAGCGGTGAATGTCTACATTCTTTTGATTTCCGTCATTTACGGTAACATACATNTTGTGCGCCACCTAGGAACCAAATCTAGAACCCGACACTCGAAATTTTTGCTCTGTTGCAATCGTACCCTGTTACAATTGACCCCACTCTCCCCTACTCTTTAAATTCAAGAGTTTTATTGTGTTTAGTATCAAAAACATGCACATATTTAACTCTGCATTCATTACGCGTTATTAATTGCTAGTTAATAATTGCGTCAATTTACAGACAAAAAGATTATTTACCAACTTCATATAGAAAGTAGTAATTTGTTTGATGTTCTATACAAAAACAAGATAATGCACGCAGAAAATTTAATGTGACATTTTATTTTGCCTTATAAACTCAAACGATTCTTTTCGGATTTTAACAAAATATTTAGTTTTGGTATTTTTTTATGAAATATAAATACGATGTTAAACTAGTATGGCATTTTTAAAATAACCACTAATTTAATCTTTCATCGTTTAACATAAAAGTTCTTTGGAAACAAGTCTTTTTCTCACGTAATGGCTACTCTAATTAAAATTTTGCATTAAAAATGCTTAAATATAAAAACATTGGTTAGTAGAAATTTTCAATAAATTAACGGCAATATTAAAAGTGTACCAAATTGAAATTAAAGAATGTAAATATGTTTCCTTTTAAACTGCTCGATAAACAATTGTTGTTGACCGAACATTTGACCAAAATTGGTGGTCGTTGACTTCCACCTGTGAATGTGGATAATCACATAGTCACTTCGGTGAATGTCTGAAATATATATTAGATCTAGTTAAGTGCCACTGCACGGTACACCCTACATCAATTTTTTTAAGGTCAAGAATCACTGCCCTGTAGGCATTTAACTGGTACTCCGAGCACTGATGTTTCTCCTCCTCAGTCGATAATAGATATAATTGTATCAACGGAAAAATTCATATCAAATAGGATATAACAATTATTTCAAACATTCACCAAAGCAACTGTGTAATTGATGAGATTAACCGGTGAAAGTCTACATTCTCTTGATTTCCATCATTTACGGTAACATACATCAGGGGTGTTGGAAATAGTTTCTTTTGATAAGAGGGCCGAAAAACGGTAGGGAACCTATGCTGAAGAGTCATAATTTATAACAAATGTCCTATTATTAAAAACGATAAATGAAAAAAATCAAATGTGGTAATTAAAAAAACTTGTTAATAGTTTACTTTTCTATTGTAAAAAAACGATAAATAAAAATAATCGAATTCGGTAATTAGAAAAACTTGTTAATAGTTTACTTTTCTATTGTAAAAAAAACGATAAATAAGAATAATCGAACGTGGTAATTAAAAAAAACTTGTTAATAGTTTACCTTTCTACTGTAAAAAACTTTCTTAACTTGCTACAATCAGATATGTTATTACGAAATTGCATACGAAGAGGGCAATATTGGGATGTCTAGATTTTTTAATATTGGTCCTAAAATGCCCTATATAGGGCCTACATTGGCCAATATAGAACCTACATTGGCTAAATAATGGATATAAAATATCAGTAAATCTGACAATTCNAATTGTCAGATTTACTGATATTTTATATCCATTATTTAGCCAATGTAGGTTCTATATTGGCCAATGTAGGCCCTATATAGGGCATTTTAGGACCAATATTAAAAAATCTAGACATCCCAATATTGCCCTCTTCGTATGCAATTTCGTAATAACATATCTGATTGTAGCAAGTTAAGAAAGTTTTTTACAGTAGAAAGGTAAACTATTAACAAGTTTTTTTTAATTATCACGTTCGATTATTCTTATTTATCGTTTTTTTTACAATAGAAAAGTAAACGAGTAACAAGTTTTTTTAATTACCTCATTCGATTATTATTATTTATCGTTTTTTACAATAGAAAAGTAAACTATTAACGAATTTCTTTAATTACCGCATTCGATTATTCTTATTTATTGTTTTTTTACAATAGAAAAGTAAACTATTAACAAGTTTTTCTAATTTCCACATTCGATTATTCTTATTTATAATTTTTTTACAATAGAAAAGTAAACTAAACATAAACATAAAACGTTATCTATAAATTGGGTTACATGAAGTAAAGGAAATTAACAATAATGCCGCAAAGACAAATTTATATATATCAAGAAAAAATATGCGTTAATTCATTACTCTTACTTTAAGTTTTCAAAAAAATTAAAATACAATTGTAAATATAAAAGGGCATTTATTTAAAAGCATATGTTTTGCGAAACTCAGTTAGTAAATTTAAAAAAAATAATTATCATACATACTTTAGCTTCTGTTCCATTATTATCGTAAAATCAAACATAGTTACGACACAACTTATTAACGCAACTTAAATTAGAGGTCATGTTTATTACATCAATTATTGATTGTTGATAGAAGCATCAACGTCACTGTTTAGTTTGATTAAATGTTCATTTTAGTTTATTTCAAAAGTAACATAACCTCTAATTATTTTTTTATTATTATTATCAATGGAAAGAGCTATGTTTTCTCATTTTTTTTAACTCAGTCAAGCACTATTTTAGATAAAATGTCATTAGATAGCTGCAAATTCTTTTCCACCCAATCGTTCCAAACAGGAGTCGAAAGAATATCCTTTTTGTTTGCCTTTATGTACTCTAATGCAGACAATTTTAAATTTAGCAGATTGATCGCCTCAGCAACCGATATCACTTCGCAGACGTTTTCTGTTGACAATTTGGACATTAAGATATCAGAACAATATTCTTTTAACGCATTCACTTGGTATTTATTAGCCAATAAGATCAGCTTAAAAATATGATCACTTGCAGTATTGGTGATGGTATCAGTGTACAAAAACTCTAAGAAAGACAGAACTGTCTCAGCGTCGGTATCAGTAAAATCAACAGTATCAATCTGACCTTCCAGCTTTAATCGATCGAATATGGCGGACAAGACAGGCGAGCGGGCACACATTAAAGATTTGTGAGCTGGAACAATTTTTTCGGCAGTCCGTAATTTCACGTCGCAGAATTTCCCGCCGAATAACATATTTTTGAGATCTTCTTGCAAGGACAATGAAGGAACCACAAACTGCTTAGAGACTTTCCCAAAAGAATAGCTCTCAATTTCAGATGTCCACATACCATTCGCATACGAAATAGAACACATCAATGTGAAATCTGTTAAATCAATCACTTTCTTCCTACCAACAGAAAGCTCAAATTTCAATAAAGGGTTTCCTTCTCTTGTTTTAAACAAAATGGAAGGTATTTCCACATTCATTTGCACTCCGTTGTCATCGAGAATAAAAAATTCTAATTTGTAAATCTCACCGACAAAAAAGCTTTCGAACATTCCGCCAACTTTCAGCATTTGCAAAGTTGTCGTTAAAAAATCAAACATCGAGTTGGATTTCTTAATTTCGAAGCGTACTTTTTCCTTGGAAGCAGTAGCAGTGATAGCAAACTCGGTAGTGTTCTGAAATGGTAGTTTTATTAATTTCGTCCAGTTTTCTAAGTCACTTGGCTTAAGTTTCCACCTGAAAGAGCAATTCTTTACCAATATTTCTGTTCGGGATTCCCATTGTATTGCTTCTTGCTTATAGGTTTCGCTAAACACATGGCAGCGGAATACTAAAGTGTCTTCCTTCCATCTTTTCATGGAATTAGCAAGTTGCTCCTGGGTGAGAAATTCATGTTTTCCATGCATTTCAGATTTATACATTTTGCATTCATCTGTAAATTCAGTTGAACTTAAAATATTACCCTGCGAATCAATTATTTCCAATATGAACGAGACTGATACCTCATTTTTACAGTCATCTGTTGAATTTCTGTGCAAATAGCATGAAATAAAATGTTTAAAACTTATATCTCCTTTTGGATATAAACTCAAGAACCATTTTGTGCCTTTGAAGTTCTCGGCATGGAACACAGGACTTTCTAATCGTTCTCCGCACCTTAAAGCATTTAAAGAATAGTTAACTATTTTCCACGTGATCGTGAATACTTTGCGAGTAATTTCGTTTGACATCTTTTTTTTCCTGAACGGTGAAATGGCTTCAGACATGGTGAGAATTTTGAAAAACACTATTTCGCAGAAACAAGATGTTTATTTCAATATCAAGTTTTCAAACGTCTGATAACATTCTACGACTAAATGTAGGACGACAGCTGTGTTTAAAATACGTCTTATCGTAAAACAGCTGAGTAAGCTTATAAAGAGCAATAAAACCGATGAAGAAGCAGTTGAAACTACTAAGAAATGATATACAAATATCCTTGAAAAAAAAACTTATCTAATTTGCGGTCTACGAAGGTTCTTTTCAAAAGTTTTCCTCTCTGAGAGTACTTGCACTGAAAAACCGATTTCAGCTGTCGTTTAATCTGAATAGTTTTATTTCACGAACTCAAAGAATCGGGCACATGGATTTAACTTCAATTTTTTTTAAAATTATCATTTAAAAATCAGCTTTAAAACTTATTTTAATTAAAAAAGGGAATGCATGAGTATTAAGAATAATTTATTCGCTTGAAATATAGGCCGATATCTCAAAATTTGATATGACAAACTTTAAACACCGGAGAAAAAAAATATTAATTAATATATATTGTTAAATAAAAGTATACTGAAAGTTTAATAATAAGAAAAAATATAATTGTCATAAATAAGTTAAATAAAAAATGCATATAATGTTTCAACATTTTTCATAAAGCGACAGCTGTAAGTGAGAGATAATATAATATGTAATCTATTGTATTTAACATAAAAATATATTCCAACTAATATTAACTACAAAAATAGAAATTACTTTAATTGCATCATTAAAAATAACACATAATACCGATAGAGTAACAAGTTGCTTCACTTGTTTATAATAAATTATTTGAGGGAATAGGGAAGACTGGGTATTTTAAATATGTTGAAATTAGTTATGTTTTCTATCAGTGCAAGTCTGATATTTTTTTTTATTAGGATAGAAGGACCTTTCATATCGAAATCTTATTGTTAGTTTATGCATGGTGTCCGTTTTAAAACGTTTGTTTTACTTTGTTAATATTCCTTTGTTTTTAAACTAGTCTTATTTATTGGCCATTACAGTTTTAATAATTACTTTTACACCAACTTATTATAAATTAAATAAAGATTCTTATCCTAAGAATCAATATGGATTTTAGGAACATTTAAATTTTCAGAACTCAATTAATTAATTAGTTATACAGGGTGATTCTAAGAAGATGGGCAAAATTTTAGGGAGTGATAGTACACACCCAAGCAAACAATTTTTTATCAAAGAATGCATGGTCGAAAACAAAACGCAAAACCGCTAGAGGGCGTCGAAGTTTACGTTCTTTCATGAGGCAAAAACACACAAAGAACGATGAAGTTAAGTTATAAAAGTAAATTTAATGGCATGTGATTACAATAAGTGCTCAAAACAGTGGCTGACAGCGACTATGCACGCAGTACAACGGCGAAGAAAAGATAGGCGAACATTCTGAAACACACCAGGCATATCACGAACTTTCCCTGCAGCGGCCGAAAGCTTGGCGACAAGTTCTTCTGCAGATTCAATGGGAATCTCATACATAAAAGCCTTCAGCTGTACCCACAAAAAGCCAATTATTTTTTTAATATTTTTAGACATTATAGCACTCGAATCAGCAGCTTTTATGTATGAATCGTGACGAAAAATTTGCATACGAGCTCTTCTTCCCGTAACATGCAAATAATAACTCGCAGCGCAGTAACTCGCAACAGGAATGGAGCTTTCACGTTTGCATCAAACAACTTTTCAAATGCGCCAGCAACTTTGCGTTTTGTTTTCGACCATGTATTCTTTGATAAAAATTGTTTGCTTGGGTGTGTACTATCACTTCCTAAAATTTTGCCCATCTTTTTAGAATCACCCTGCATATATTATAAATTCCTGAATAAAATTTATTGTTGTGCTCTGCAAAAATACTAGCTTCTTACATATTTATTTACTTCAGTTATTTCAGATTTTTAACATTCTTAGTGTCAATACTCAACATAATATAACCAACGGTAAACACTACAAGGCCGAAATTCTGCATACAATGTAAGGCTCATGAAATGGGATACTTGCAAGTGACGTGGTGTGGATACTTCAATCCTGATTGGTTGTTGAAGCGTGGCATTTGTTTACGCTAGCAATTATTCTTTCCTTTCTATTTCGAGAAAGCCAAGCCAGTCAAGTATCAATTCTCTTAAGTGATACACACTATTTTCTACCACAAAGATTTCAATTTTTTCCCTTTATATTTTTAACTTAATACAAAGACCAACAAGCAGACATGTAGAATATGAAACTAATTATGCATCGAAGTTACCTGATACACAAAATACAAATATATCACGGTTACAATAAAATACGTGAATAATAAATCAAAGTTATGTAAAAGATTTAGACGAGAAAGAATTATATTTCAACATATTCGATGTGTGATACGGTTCAGTATTTAATTAACTTATGTGGAGAAATTTAGTTTAACCTTAACTTACCATTTTCTTACAAAAGATCAGCTGGCACTGACATCATAGGTCACGTGTGCGGGTATGTAATATCTTCTTGAAAACCAAGTACCCAATTGGGGAAAGAAAAGTAAATGGTTCACGGTAAATTATGAGAAACGCTGCTTGACAACTTCATTCCCCTGACAAATTTCAGAAAATTGGTTAAAATATTTAAATTTTGGAAAAACTGTTTGAAACTTGTAGCTTATATAAATGCACCAAACATATAAATATCTTAATTTTAATTTTATGTCCTTTGAGTTGATTTTTTTATTGTAATATATAGTAAATATAACCAAATTTATTTACAGCTTATTTTTCGTTCTCCAGCTTATAGCAAAATACAAAAAATAACTAATTATGCAAACATCACAGTTTAATAAGTTTGTTTTAAAATAGTTAGAAAAAAACAAATTCAAGAAATATTTCTTACATATTGTAATTGTGTTTACACTAACAGGGAAATTTTAAAATGTTATCGAAATATTAATGTAAGAAATATTTCTAACAAACTAATTGATAACATTTTAAATTATAAAAAAAATAAGCTTGTAATGCACAGTAAATGTTAGAAAACACTAAGTAAGTAAAAATTCTCATAGGTATCAAAACATTATTTTATTAGGTATCAAAACACATTACAAATTGTTAGAAATTAAGCTCGCCATACACAGTAAAAATGGCAAAGAAGTTTCTTATGTTCCCGCACATAAAATTCAAATATACATGTTTAATTAAATATCAAAACAAATAAAGAACTTTATTAAGATAAATAATTTCTTAAAAACAGAAGCTAAAAATGTATTTATTAGAAAATTGTTTTTAACATCTTATATTTAGTATTTTCACGTCTAAACGATCACTTTAAATTAATTGAAAAATTTTCATATTCTAATTTTCAATTATTAGTACAATAAATATTTTTGATCAATAATGACTAATTGTATTATAAGTTTCGTTTTTAGGGTACTTTGCCTTGAATATTAGAATTATAAAGCAGTTTGTTTTCTAAGAAGAACAAAATTATTTCGATAGCTTAAGAGCAACTTACCACAGAAAATTGTGCTCTGAACGAGACTGATTTAATTAATTGACGGTTTGGTCCAACTTTAGAGTTCTAGTTTCTTGTTTTTTTTTCTATCCATACTGTGCAATCAGATGACAAAAGAAGGAGTCTTCTGTTTAACTTAATAAAATTTAAGACATGTTGTTTGAGCATTTCAGCAACAGAAATAACTTCACAAACATTCCCTGGGGACAGTGATATTTCCGAGGCTTTTTCTGATGAAAAAGTGATTCTGATATCTATCAGCAGCAAAAATGAGCTTTAAAACATGGTCAAAATTGGCATTAGTCTATGATTCAACAGCATAGAGATTCTGTAAGGCTGGAAGCACTTCACTTGCTACACCAAGCATTTCAATTACTCCAGTCCGACTTTCAATTACACCGCGATCAAACATGGCGGCGAGCACGGCAGATCGGGCTAGCAGCAATCTTTTGTGATCTAAGATCCTTCATTTTTAACTGTAAATCACAATGCTTCTGGTTTAAGACCATAGTTTTGTGATAGTCTTGCAAAGGTAGGCGAGAAGCTGTTAACCGTGTCGAGTCTAAGGTTATTTTAATAGGAATAGCGAACGAGTTTAGATTTCGAAGAACCATTCGAAACATAAACAGCACATTTTAACGTGAAAGAATAAACGGAAGGGGAATCTATTGAAGCTTCAAATTGAGAAGAATGGAGTGAAAAATAAGAGATTTTTGAACACAATTTAACTCCTTCCTGGTAGAGTATTGAAGTTTTCATTTGGCATACTTCAGGTAAATTTTGCTCCTCGGGCACTTGAATATTCATGAATACTTTATTATCAGGTGCAGTTAAGAGGATATCAAATGAGAGTGGGTTTTTTTCTTCATCCTGAATGTGGCACTCGATACATTTAGACCAGCCCGGAATGGGAGGAATTGCAATTTTCCTATCGAATACATACTCCATTACTTGAATTTCAGTTAGAGCTTCACATGAAACAGATTGTAGCTTGTTGCTTTTGTCAAATAACTGACATCGTATCTGAAATACGTTGTTTTCCCAGTCATACATATTTTTTGTCAATTCTACATTCATAAATCTGAACCAACCGTAATCTATATGCATATCCGTCCTGTCCATAGATGCTAGGAGCTTGCCATTTGTATTAACTATTCCTAAAGAACATGATAGTGTAAATAAAGAATATTCCTCAATTTTCTGATGCAGAAAATCTCTGATTTCGTCGCAGGACATAAAGCCTACTCTTATTTTGCCTTCTTCTTTCCGGATCAGCGTTAAGTACCATTGACAGTTGAAATTTTCAATCTTAATTTTAGGACTCTTTAGCTCTTTTACACTTGACAATAGAAAGAATAGAAAGTGTGATATTCTCCAATTCCAAGTTAAGACTTCGTCTGACATGATTCAAATGGAAAAAAATATCTTGCCCGTCGAGTTCTTAGTTTGAGTGAAGTAGAGGAACTTTGCTATTCGCTTTTATCGTCTGTGCTGTAAGTCGAATTGAGTTGAGTTGAGTTGAGTTGTTGTTGATGATGATGATGGAAAAGTGAAAGTGCAAGATGTTCATGAAGAAACTAAGCAAATTCAATGTAAAATTTGCAGTTTTCCGAGCAATCAAAATAAAAAAAAATTTCTTCCAATACGCTTTTGGAGAGGTTGAATTGATGACAATGAAGAAGGAAGATACACGATGATCGTGAAGTACTAATGCGCTGCAAAGTTTACAATCTTCT